GCTTTATACAAACGCCTTTCAAACGCTGTAGCGTTGCAATTTCTGCTCTATGAATTCTCTACTGATCGTTTCAAAACTTTCAACGAATTTCCGCAAAACGCTCATACAAACGTCAAATAAACGCTTATAAAACTTCTCATTTTCGTCAGGGTTACTGATGAGGGCTATTGAATAAAGCCGAAACGTATGAATTGATTTTATCGTTATTATTTACTGCACAATACCTTGCAACTAGTTCTAAGTGTCCAACGTACAATCGTATTTATTTTTTATTAATTTTTTATTTTTATTCTTTCTTTATTTATTTATTATTTATTAAATCTCTCATAGTTGTATTAATGGATTTTTTATTTTATATTTTAACTTTATTTCTTTGATTTACATTTATCGTTTTTATTGATTATTTTTACAATATTTATTTATTTCTTCATTCAATTATCCGTTACAGATCTCCGATACGTAGACATCATACTTTGATGTTTAGTTTATGTTATCTGTTGTTTTGGCTCGTTGTGCTTCCCGATGCGCATTAGATGGTTTTTTTGTGATGACTTATCGAGGTAGGTGCGTACATATTTATTCAAAAAATGTTTTGTATGTATCTTTCTGTCTAACAGATGTTTTTCTATTCTATTATATTTTTTATTTTTTATTTTGTATTCAGTGCTGAAGATGATCACCAATAAAATTTGATCGAAATGTTTGAAATACATGTTTTAAGTTGTTTTTGATTGTCCATCTTCACCTTGGACCACAGCCCCTTTTTGGTTAATTTTCTTTTACTATTTTATTTTCTTAATGGATTGTTTTATAAAGGAAATAAAATGGTATTTACATACATGGTGGAGGGGGCAAACCAAGAATCCAATACAAATTTTTGAACTGAATTCAGTTCACATTATTATATGTAATAATTTACATATTTAAAAATATAGTTTGCGCACGTACATTCAGCACATAACTCATAGATATTAAAACATTTTTTGCTGATTTGATACTACATGAAAAATTTTTTACATTTGTAAATTTGTTTATAAGAGTATAAAAACTGTGACATTCTAGTTTATACTTATGTTTATACTTGTGTAAAATACAGTTTTTTATTTACTTTTACTGTTAGTTTTTCTTTGAGATATATATAGTCCAAAAACGAAATGATATGTCGCTCTCTATCGATGACTTTCCTCTGAAAATAACATTAAACATGTTACAAAGGACAAAACAATAAAATTATAAGAGGATTGAAAAGAAAACTAAAAAGAAAGAAAGAGAGAGAGAGAGAGAGAAAGAGAGAGAGAGAGAGAGAGAGAGAGAGAAAGAGAGAGAGAGAGAGAGAGAGAGAGAGAGAGAGAGAGAAGCAAAATCCCGTTATTGTTTCATTTGAGTAGGTCACTGGCACCTTATTGGATTACCTCGCAGCCGTAGT